ACAGGGGGGCAGCAGGGCTGGATGGGAGGGCAGTAGCGCCGCACAGGGGGACAATAACGCCTCACAGGGGGGCAATAGCGCTGCACGGGGGGGCAGCAGGGTGTCACATAGGTGTGCTTCTGCCTCTGAATGGTATAATCGCAGGAGGGCTCTGAGTCATGGCAGGGGGGGGGGGGGGACTGGCGGGGAGGTCCGGGATTCGGGGCAGGAAGACCGGGATTCGTGGCAGGAGGTTTCATGACAAGACCCGCGGGAGCACATCTTTCTGGTGAAGCTGTTAAGAGCGGGAGATCAACACGGTGAGAGGATCTCCAGATTCACTTCCTGTATTCCATCCCCCCATTTTTTAATAATATTTTCCATGAGATCCCCAGCAAACTGTTTCTCTCTTTCTTTTTGCCTGCCTAATCCAGACCACATGCACCCTGGATTCTGTCCGATCTGCAGGTCTTACTCTGGTGACTGCTGCGTGAATCTAGGTCCCAGCGAGCCGTCACAGTGGGCCCCATGAACCAATCCCAAACCCCATCCTCCTCATGAAACTGCATGGAGCTCATGTCACCCGCGGATCCCTTGGTGTGCCTTTGCTGCACCTTCCCAGGTGACCCCCCTCGCTCCATCCACCACTCCCAGTGCCTGCCTCATCCCAAGCAGAAGCCAGCTAGCTAAGTCCCAGCGCCCAGAAGGCCCATAACAACCTCCAATGGAGGTTTCTTCTCTCTCAGCATGAAAAGAAATAGTAAAATTGGTCTTACCCTCTTCAGCTACAGTGGGAAGTGTCTGGAAGCGAAGGTGAGAGACTGAGGAGAGCTGGGCTGAGTGACCTTTTATATGGCTCTAAAAGGTTATCTCGGATATGAGACACCTCTTCGCAATGACAATTTAATTATTTCCGCACTCAGTCCTGCAGATGTTTGCGCTATCCTATTTTTAGTGTTTCCTCTTTGACGCACCGTATTTTGTCCCCTATATAATTCCTAATACACTTCCTATAGGGATTTTGGAAGGCATTGCTTTCCCATTTCCTGGAGACTGACACTAATCTCATAGTTGTTAATTAACTTGCCAATGGGCAACTGGGATTGCATCAGTGACAGAAAAGTCTTTACTTCTCAGAACTGCTGACTCCTGGAGTAGGCCTACCGTTTTGTGCAGGTGACAGCTCAGGATTTTAATTTACGTGTTGTTGAATGCCAAGAGGAAATGGGATTACCAGCTGCAACTCATGGGTATGGCACAACACTGGGAAATGTGGTGTGATCTCTTTAGTTCCCCAGTACGACAAAAAATAAAATATTTCTTATTCTTCTCATGTTCCTTGACTTGTCAGGTGACTTGGCTGACCCCATCAGATTGTTCCACAAGTATCAAAGATTATTTAGTACTTAAGATCAGAGAGAAATGTCTGGTGATGAGGTCTGCACAAGGAATGAGCATGTTAAATTTTCCTGTTCCTTGTTTTCCTTTTCTCTTTCATGATTTATTATACTTTTTTCACCTGACCTCACCTACAGAGAGGGCAGGAAAGCAAAGGATTTGGAGAAAGGGAATGTTTGAGCTGAAATTTGAGCAAATAATGGGTTCTGTCACTAGTGGTGAAATTAGGGGAACTAAAGATGGATTTATAATCCTGTTTGACTCAGTCTTTGAAGTGTAAGAAAATGAAGCCTGTAACTCATCTACCTTGGAAAATGTTACCCATTAGACTAATTCGCTAACTGCTAACGAGAACCTCTCTCTAAGGTACAGGTGTCCTACAGCTTTTCTTCAGGCTAGAGGCAATATAATTGTTTGTGGTGAGTTTTGTGTAGCAAGGGAGGATTACATTAATTCCTCAGGGACATTTTATGACTCAGTTGCGGGTCCAAAACCAAAAGAGGCTGCAGCTGCCCAGTGGGTGAAGCTAGTGCTTGTGTGACAGTTTTCTCCTCTGTGCTTTGACCTGGACCATCACACCAATGTTCCTCTGAAATATTTCTACCTCCCCAACAGCCTTCCAAAACTTGGGTGTCCTAGGTTACACCCACTCAAAAATTGTTTCTGAATCTTTTGAATTCAGATCCTTCTAAGGAAAACATATCTTATAATCACAGAAGGCATCTTAAAGATCATCCAGTTTTCACTCCCTGCCATGGGCAGGGACACCTTCCATAGCCCAGGTTGCTCCAAGCCTCATCCAGCCTGGCCTTGGACACTCCCAGGGATGGGGCATCCACAGCTTCTCTGGGCAACCTGTCCCAGTGCTCCCCACCCTCTGTGGGAAGAATTCCTTCCTGATGTCCCATCTCCATCTCCCTCTTTCCTTTTAAACCTGTTACCCCTTGTCCTGTCACTCCCTGCCCTTGGGAAAAGCCCCCCCAGCTTTCTTCTAGCTCCCCTAGTCACTGGAAAGGGCTCTAAGGTCTCCCCGGACCCTTCTCTTCTCCAGACTGAACAAGCCCAACTCTCCCAGCCTGTCCCCATGGCAGAGGGGCTCCAGCCCTTGGAGCATCTCCGGGGCCTCCTCTGGACTCGCTCCAACAGCTCCGTGTCCTTCTGCTGTTGGGGGCCCCCGAGCTGGAGGCAGAACTGCAGTGGAGGGTATCATGAGAACAGAGTAGAGGGGGAGAATCCCCTCCCTCGCCCTGCTGGCCACACTGCTCTGATTCCAGCCTAGGATACGGTTGTTTTTCTGGGGTGCCAGCGCACACTGATGGCTCATGGCCAGTCTCAAGAGTTATCATTCCTTGCTTGAAGTTCTTTTAGGGGAGTATGTAAGAGAAGCCCAATTTACAGTGATGAAACGTTATATTTAGGGCAATGTGGGGGTTCATACTTGCTCAGTTACGCTCAGCAATGTTTGGCTTATGAGCTCTCCATAATAACATATTGTGGTGTTTAGATCTGTGCTGTGCAAGTGCACAAGAGTCTTGCATGACATGGACCTTCTCTGGGCTAACTCTTTTGTCTGCTCCAAACTATATACTAGTGTCAAGCAATACTAGAATATGAAAAAAGTTTTCAGAGGCTCAGAGGTTTTAAGATATTTGAAAATATGTTTATGCTCAAGTTCTGAAGTTGAGCTTGAAGTAAATTCTTACATATATTGAGTGAGATTATTAGCAACTGTGAGCTACTTACTCTTTCATTTAATCAGAATTGCTTGTCTCCAAGACAAAAGAGTTTGTATTCAATTGTCTATGATTTCATTGTTTTCAATACACTGGGACAAAAATCTGTGTAGACCAGCTCATCATCTGGTGTGAGCAGGGGGAGTTTTGTTCTGCTCAACCTTTTAAGTCCATGTAGCTTTTCAGTAGTTGAAAATATTTTTCTCTACTGATGTGTTTGTTTTCTTTTCAAATGAACGCAGGGATTATTGTTATTGGACACCAAGTATTGGGAAACTTTGAGAATATGAGGGAGTTTGACTGAAGAATTCAGAAAACCCCCCCAAACTCTAAAGGAAAGCTTGAAAAAAGAAATTGGAAGACAATGCGAGTCTCATGAATGGTAAAATTTATTGTTTCCCACACCCAGATAATTCTGAAACACAAATGTATGCCACAGAAAGATTCCCAACAGTAATTATACACTGAATAATTAGAAAGGACATTTCCTGAATAATTAGAAAGAATGACACCTTGAATAATAATTAGGGTAACAATTCATCCAGACCAGTGGTGAGGCACATGGCAGAGACCCAGGGATTTCAGTAAGGATGAGAGGATCCGTGGCTGCAGCATCCAAGGGAGGAGTGAGCCGGTGGGTCCAGATGCCAGGGCCGGATCCTGCTGTTAGTACTTGGGGCATGTCGGCGGCAGCTTGCAGATGTTCTTGGTGTACTGCGGGCAGTAGGGGATGGGGGGGCAGTAGCGCTGCACAGGGGGGCAGCAGGGCTGGATGGAGGGGTAATAGCGCTGCACAGGGGGGCAGCAGGGCTGGACAGGGGGACAGCAGGGCGTCACATAGGTGTACTTCTGCACAGGCTGCCTCTGGATGGTGTAGTGGCAGGACGGCTCCGAGTCATGGCAGGAGGAGCGGGATCTGTGGCAGGAGGTTTCATGGCTGTGGCAAGACCCACGGGAGCACATCTTTCTGGAGTATCAGTAGAGCTGTAGGGAATAGAGAGAGACAATCAAGCTCGAACAGCTTCCCCACTGTAACCTTCTCCATTTTCCTTGGCTCTTTTTCTGTAGTGGTCTGGGAAATTTTGTATTCCTCTGTTTTGTAATATGTGGGCTGTTTTGACCCTGAAAGTGAGACTGCCTTGTCTTATGGGTGGTACTCTATGACAGTCCAGCACTGATAAGAATTTCCCTACCAGGATGCTACTGTTGGCTTTTTAAGGTAAAACTTACTTCTAAAACTGTATTGACTTGTCTGAGATCTCTTTCCCCGCATTACCAGCTAGTTTGGGAATTAATTCCCCACTGGGTTCCAAAGACCCTGTGTCTGGTCCTTCAGTTACTCCTAATTTACTGTCATCCCATCTTCTGTGAGCACACCACAATCACCCTTTGCGTAGCTTCCATGTTCAGCCACCCAGTCACGAAAAATAAGAAATTTCTAAGACAAAGGCAACATCTAAACGCAGGACTAGTCAGCTAGAATTACTCTGTGAGCTTCCACTGCTCAGTAGTAGGAAAATCAATATAATCCAACTTACCCTTTGTTGAAACACACGAGAGGAAGAGCACCGAGAGCTGATGCGGAATGAAGGAGCAACGGGGGATGGCGGACTTTTATATCTTCCAATGGGTTGTCCGGGAAATTATGCATCGTTTGGAAATGCTGACAATTAATTAAGTAGTTATGTTCATATTTCTCTTCTGTGTCTAGTTTTTAGCATTTCCGATTTGACGCAGTCAGGAAAAACAATTATGACTTTTTCCTTAACATGTTAATAGGCGATGAATTTCCCAATCTGCTTTATAAGGGAATTTTGAAGGCAGTTGCATATTTACACATTAAAACCAAACCTAACCCTAGAGTTATTAAGTGATTTGTCATTGGGCAACCGGCATTGCATCAACGTACAATTCAAAAGTGTTGACTCCTACCCTGCATGCTGCCCCTTGGTCTGCATGCAAGACTCACAATTTGATTGATATGTTTTTTTGTCACACAAGGGACTGTAATTAACAGCCACAACTCACATGGACTCTACTTAGAGGGAAGTCCTGTTGACTAGCTCAAAGCACCTAACGCCTCAACACCGGAGATGACGCTTGAAGGACATCCCCATTTCCAAAGATTTTAGTTCTGTTTGTGAGTCCACCAGGCATCAGCTTTGCACCATGATATTATCCTGCTTACATTCCACCTAGAAGAAAAGGATTTCAGATCCTAGGCAGGAAGTATTTGCGGTGGGAAGCTATCATCTACTGGAAACCTGTTTCCAGATCCCAAATTGCTTTGGGCTCCCGTCTTACCTAAGCAGTTTTGTAATTTTTACTCATTGAAGTGTTTCACTATTTTCTACCAAGTTTCTCTCACAGTGGCCCAAAGACTTTATGACAATGAAATGTGTAATGGTTCCTTTCCTGTGATTTTTATCCAGGTGGGAGCTGCAGGAACTCCTCAGGAGCATCCTATAGGTCACTACTGATGCAACTAGAACAAGGCAGTGCTTACCAAGTTACTGAAAGTCGCTTACCAAGTACAGAAGGGAGGATCTATTCTTACTGAGATGATCTTCATATCTTCCAGGGTTTATTTTCATGTCAAATTTGGGAAAAAACCAATGCTACTCTGCCCACAGTTCTGTGAGTTGCTAATACATTCTGAATTTGAAGATACATCCTGAATTCGAAAATACATCCTGGGAAAGCATGGTTTCATGTTATTTTTATTTACTTTTTGTGCTGGTGTTAGTCGGGACAGAGGAAATTTTCTTCACAGTAGCTGGTTTGAAGCTGTGTTTTGGATTTGTCCTGAGTACTGATAAGGTGTTTTCAGTTGGTGCTAAAGAGTGTTTGCACCGATTCAAGGACTTTTTCAGCTTCTGATACTGCACCTGTGTTCCCAACTTTCTCACTACAAGCGGGACACACACACAGCTGACCCAAACTGACCAAAGGAGTATTTCGTTCCATAGCACGGCATGTTCAGTGTATGAGTCGGGGGTGGGCTGGGGTTCCATGTTAGTTGTTAGTTACTTAGGTCATGACTCAGGAAAAAAAAAAAAAGAAAAAAAAGAAAAAAAGAAAAAAAAAGAAAAAAAAAGTCTTTTAGAGCCAGCCCTTGTTTAGGAAAATCTCACCTGCAGTCTTCTGAAAAGCACTGTGAGTTATAAGTAATGTAGAAGTGGTTCATCTAGGTTGATAAAGCGGTATTTTTAGGGAAGGCCCTTGTGTCAATTGTCCATCATGCAGCATGAATTCATCTCACCCTTGTCTAGATACTCAAGATGAATAATTTAAGATGAAGCTAGTTGTCGAGCTCTTTGTGAAACCGATGCAAAGAAACAGGCACTGGCAGAAGGAAGCGAGCGATCCTGTTCTAGAACAGATGTCTCAGCTAGATGGGCTGGTGACTGGGGAGATAAGGATAGTCTTAGGTTGTAAAAAGTAGAGGGAGATTTAGCATTTATTTTTAAGTGTGTGCAATTTTCCTTTAAATCTGTAATTTAAAGTTCAGTGAAAGAATGTCTATTAGGCACCTCGAAATGTTTGTAATTCTGAGTCAGAGTGACAAATGAGGTATGAGGTGCTGCTGAACTAGGGAACAGAGAAAGACAGTGCTAAGCTAAATAAGGCACAGGTGAGCTCCCTGTGTGCTGTCCATAAATGCATTCATCTGCTGCAGAAATGCATCTGGAATGACTGGATTTCATTCATTCTGAAGCTTTAGGATCTGGGTATTTTGTGATAAGCTTGAGAAGGAAAGAATGAGAAGTGATGACTAAGACAAGAAAGGTAAAGATAATTCTCAAGAAAGTGGTCAAAGAATAAAAAAATAATGAACTTTTTCTATTTTTGGAAATGAAATTTTATTGTCTCAGTTGCATATTTTGGAGGTTGGCACATCATGTGTAAGCCACTGCCAGCAGAAATAATTCTCAGACTTTTGGAAAAGAACATAAGCTGGGTCTCACATGCTAAATAAATTAAAACAGATCTGGTTTATATCTTGAAGAAAATTCTAATCACAGAGAAGGTATTTGAGGATTCACGCAAACCAAAAATGGGAAGAGAACCAGCGATTCAAGCTTTAGGCACCAAGTGCATCCAAGGGAGGAGTGAGCCGGTGGGTCCAGATGCCAGGGCCGGATCCTGCTGTTAGTACTTGGGGCATGTCGGCGGCAGCTTGCAGATGTTCTTGGTGTACTGTGGGCAGTAGGGGATGGGGGGGCAGTAGCGCTGCACAGGGGGGCAGCAGGGCTGGATGGAGGGGTAATAGCGCTGCACAGGGGGGCAGCAGGGCTGGACAGGGGGACAGCAGGGCGTCACATAGGTGTACTTCTGCACGGGCTGCCTCTGGATGGTGTAGTGGCAGGAGGGTTGGGTTCTGAGTCAGGGCAGGAGGAGCGGGATCCATGGCAGGAGGTTTCATGGCTGTGGCAGGGCCTGCGAGAGCACATCTTTCTGGAGTATCAGCAAAGCTGTAGGGAAGAGAGAAACCGTCATGCTGGTACAGCATCCTCGGTGTACCTAAGCATACCTGCATTCTCTAATTTGTTCTGGAATTCACCATTTTCTTTCTAATTTTCAGTTTTTCAGGTATAAGAAAGCAATTCCAATGCTGATTAGTTGGCAAATTATTTATATCCCCCACTAAAATCATGACCTTTTGTGGATGCAATTTGATTTTCTGAGAAAAAACTACTCGAAGCATCAAGGGTCTCCAGTCCTGAGGGTCTTGATGCAGCCCCAGACACCCTAGTGCATTCTACTCAAAAACTTCAAGACTTTTTCCTGTGAAATCCTCCGACTGTCCTCTTGCTGTATTTTTCAATCTTTCTGTTGTTTTTTTGGCTTGAGCCTCTGTCTGCTAAGCCTATATCCACTTGACATTTGTGGTAACAAAACAGCTCTTGTGGGTAACAAGAACTTGGCCTCTGATATGACCAAGGTCAAGAGGGGAGGAGTGAGTATCATACTTCAACTCTACCAAAGCTTGTATGAAAGCAGTTGGTTTCAGAAAGAAACTCAAGAGAAATAATAAAATAGGACTTACCCTTCAGCAACAGGAGTGATGGTGTATAGGAACAGAGAAGTGAATGAAGGAAATAGGGATGAGAGACCTTTTATACTCTTCCAAGGGGTTATCTGGGACATGAGACATCTCTTGGCAGGTGTAACCTAATTACACATCCCAGACCATTTCTATCCGCTGTATTCAGCTTCCGACATTTTCCCTTTGATGCACTGTGCTTTTAGCATTGTAATTGTCCCGTAGTTTATTAATAGCACTCTAATTCCTTCACCTCCCTATGAAAGAGATTGGAAGGTATTTCATGCAAAGTGACGCCAGTACCGATGAAACTAATGGATCTGGTCATGGACAACAAGTATCAAGCGGAAGAGATGTTTGTAATTCGGAAGTACCAATTCCTCAAGCTGTGCCGGGATGTCACATGGGCCAAGAGCTAAATGTGATCACACCTCCATGTGAAAGAAAAATGATTACTCATGTTAACTCATGCAGGTTATGTTTAGGGCAGGAATACTCCAGCTGAATTGCCCAATGGTACTGGATATTTTAATGAGAGATTCGGCATTAGCCCACAGGTGGTAATTTCAAACTCTCTTCATGATGTGCCCCATCAAGAATTCCTTTTCTTCTTGCTATAGGTGCTGTTTTAGTCTAATTCTGCAAGACAGTGTTGACGGCTGTGATATCAAACTCCAGAACAGAATGGTTTGAGGTGAACACATCAGCCTCAATCCTGCTCAGACTCCCAGAGGTGAGGTTATTCCTGTTCCTGTTTTCCTCTGTCCTTCAATGCATTTCTAATTTTTTCCCTAACATTTTAAATAAAACCTGCCTTTAGTTTACTTTCTAGAAATCTTTAGCTGTGGAGGTTGAGGGAAGGTGGGCCATGTGCCTGCCACCAGAGTAAGGTTTAGGATCTTTAATTTCACAATGA